AAAGACTGATTTAAGATAAAGGACAGGAAAAATGTCTTTTAAAAAAGGCTGAGATCATAGAAGATAGGTTAGACACATATGTATGAGAAAATGAGATATCCAGAATGCAAGGTACAAGTTGCTACAGCACTGGCAAAAGCAAAAGTAAAAGGATCTGTACCCAGGTCCCACTAGTGAGCCTGTTGTTAGCGAGAAATCTTCCCAGTCATGATGGCTCCCTTCCAGCATTTTTACCTGGCAAGCTGAACTGGTTCTGGAGGACTCAGCTACCGTAAAGAGAACGGTGGAGGATGATACCTGCAGGGCTGCTTCTCAGACACCCTAGTTGAGCCTCAGAAGTTCCTCAAAAATACACCCAGGTGCAGGAAGCCCATTGTTACATTTTACAGAACGACTCCCCTTTCTCCAAACCTTTACACATGTTAAAAACACACAGCCATGACTGCAGAGTTTCCTCTGCCAGTGTCTCCCAGCTTTTGTGTGCTCAAGCACATCCTCCAGTGGAATAGATAGTCCACAGTTATGGGGGCCTAGTGGGTCCTGTGGTTCTGCTAAGCCTTTGAGTATAAGCTGTATTCTCAAGAAATCCTATCATAGCTACAATGTGTGTCGCCAGTGCTGTAAAAACTTGTAACTTGTATGACAACCATAAACGAATCAGGAGACACCACTGAAGAGAATGGCGGTTGTAAGAAGTGATTTCAGAAAATTTGGACTGAACTGAGAAAAGACAAAGAGGATCAGCATCAAATAGCACAAGAATTACTGGGGAAGTTTCAGGAGGAGAGAGGTTTTATAGACAAACAGAAGTAATTGTCTGTATCCTAAAGAAATATGCTAGCAAAATTTATGGGGTTACAGCTCTAAGGAGAGGCACAGCAAAGATGAACCATATAAAGGGCATGCAGCCAGGGTAATAATACAGTCTGGTTTTGATGGGAAATTATCTCCTGAGTGGGATTATGCCATTTAAGAGGTAAAGATGGACAAGATTTCTCTGCACAGTGGATGATTTTGGAAGAACCACAATTTATATTCCATATATCTCACTAAGGAAGACCCCGCAAGAGAGAACCTAGAAGAGTAGGTCTAAAAAAAAAGTCTAAGTCAGAAAGCAGAGAGAAAGTAGAAAGAAGAAAAAACACTCAGATCCACCCCACAAAGAAGGAGAAAATAGGGGAAATTCAACTGTTAGAAACTTAGCTGAACCTCTCAGAAAAGACTAGGGAGAGTGGTGCAATACTGGAAGCCTACCCCACTACTATAGAAAAACAGCATTTCAAAGCCTGGAACCTTCAAAATCTTAGGTAAGACACCACCATAGGAAATTTCTTCCATTTGAGTTTTCATTTATTCCCTATTGGTCTTTGTGTTGCTGTCATCATACATTTCACTCCAACATACGCTATAAATCCCATTCTACATTGTTATTATTTCATCTAAACCCCACATCTTTTTAAAAGTTTAAATAGTAAAAATAAAATATAAAGGATTTATATATCTACCCATTTAGTTATTTTTATGGTGCGTTTCATTCCTTGCGTAGAACCATATTTCCATTTGGTATCATTTTCCCTTCTGCCTGACAGAAATTCTTTAACATTTCTTACAGTGTCAGTTCTAGGTTGATTTTGATTGGTAGTTTTTTTTTCTTAATTGTGGGATGATTCCAAGGTATCAAGGGTCTGAGCAACTGAAAGAGTGGAGTTGCTATTATTGCAAATATTTCTTTGCAACCTGGTAATATTTGATTGGATGCCAGACATTGTGGATTTTACCTTGTTGGGTGCTATTTCTGTATTCTTATAAATATTCTTGAACTTTGTTCTGGGTTATAGTTAAGTACTTGGAAACAGTTTTATCCTTGCTTTTATAGTATGTTAGCAGATCCAGAGCAGTGTTTAGTCTAGAGCTAATTCTTCCCCACTTTTGAGGCAAGACCCTTCTGAGTACTCTAGCCCTGCGGATTATGAAGGTTTCCAATCTGACTGGTTGGGAACAGGCGCTATCTTGGCCCTGTGTGAGAGGCAAGCCCTGTTATTTCCAATCCTTCCAGGTGGTTTCCTTGGCCTTGGTTACTCTCTGCATATATATGTGCTGATAGGTACTCTACTGGGTACATGAGGAAGATCTTTTGAAGATCTCCATGGTTCTCTGTCTCTGTCTCTCTGCAGCTCTCTCCTCTCCAGTACTCTGCTCTGCCATCTTGGTCTCCCAGAACTCTAAGCTCCATTTCCTCAAGGAAATCTTCCAGGCTCTGGCTGTGATCCACCTCCTGGCGCCCTCTGGAATCTCAAGGCAGTGAGTTGGGGCTGTCATATGGCTAACCTTGTTTCCCATACCTCAGGGATCCCTGCTGTCCTTCGTTGCCTGACAGTGTCATGAAAATCATCATTTCATGTATTTTGTATGGTATTTTAGTTGTTTCAAGCAGGAGGATAAATTTGAATTCCTTTACTCCATCTTGGTCAGGAACTGAATTCCCAATTGAGCTCAAAATCATGGAACTCTAATTTCTTTGCACTTTAACGAACAAAAAAACAAAAGCATTTGATGTCTAATTCTAATTGTTCGGGACTTTCACTTCCTTGTATTTCAACAACCATATTTACTTTTCAGGCTTTAATTTTTTTTAGAATCTTCTAAATGGAAGGAGATTTGCAATCCAGTTCAGAGCATCTCTATGCTGTTGGCTCTTCATTTCAACATTTAATCTCATTAGAGAGACTATGGTCAACTGTATAGTTTCACTGGGCTAGATACAAAATTTGAGGGGAAAAAGAACAGGTTTTAAGGTTTTAAAGTCTTGGGGTTTTAAGCCTTGAGTTAATTCATAAAACATATTTATTTATTATCTACTATGTGCCATATACTAAGGATAGAGCAGTGAAGGAAAAAAACAAAAATCCCTGCCCTCATGCATCAAGTAACGTATTTTGGGAGGAAGAGACAGAAAATGTAAATAAACAAATGAGAAAAACGCAATGTGAGTCAGATTGTAATAAATGCTAACCAGAAATAAGGAATGGATAGTAAAGTGGCTGCATTTTGGATAGTGTGGTTAGGGGAGGCCTCACTGAGTAGATAAGGAAACTCAGGCTGAGAGATGTTAACTGATTTGCTCAGGGTCACACAACAGCCCCAGCAGCAGAGATGTGAATGAAATCTGCATTTATCTGTTTCACAGCCCGTATGTTTTCAATGTTCTCTTTGAAGGAGCCTGAGACCTCAAAAGGTCCAATTCCCTTTTTAAAAAAAACACAGAAATTGAGATCCAAATCACTTTGCCCGAGATCACAGGTTTCACTAACTTTCCTGTGGGGTATATACTTGAAGGAAGTAGAGTGAGGACCTTGCCAGTCCCTGCAGGGCCCTACGCACAAGGAAATTTTGCTGTCTCCTTCAGAGGGCACACATCACCCTCCTTGGCCTCTGGGGCAGAACGGAAACAACAGGAGTAAGTGGACGCCCTTTGGAAACAGTTTTTCACAGGATCATGATGAACACTTTCCATGTCTGACTCACAGGCCAGTATTATTTTCCCATTTTCTGAGGAGAAAAAGACACAGTGTGGCTTGAATCAAATTCTGAATAGAGAGACCTATTTGAACTGAATTCCAAGCTGTGGGCAGCCCTGAAAGACTAGGGCAGTGAAGGTCTAAGCAGGCCCTTACTCCCAGCCTGGAAGACAAGAACGAAAATGGAGGAGGGCCCCTTCTCATTTCTCACCCCACTTCGAGTCAAGCTGTTTCTTGCAAATGCTTGGTGTGGGCCTTACTGGACTAGTCTTTGGAACTTGTGGGACTCTCTAGAAATGGGTCTAGGGCAAAGAGTTTGTGAATGTAGGCCATGAGATGTTTAGGCCCCTGGTGAGGACCAGGCTGGGTTCTAGTAGTGATTAGTATCCATGACTCCTTATAAAAAAATCCTCAGATTTTATAGTTATTTTGGAACCAAGTATATACCATGGTCCCTGTTACGTTTAATAGGAAGTAGAAATATGGAACTTCAGAGTCAGTGACTTATAATAATACTTTTACTGAGTGCCCACTCAGTACAAGGTTCTATGCTAGTAGGCTTGGGTTATATGGCAGTGAATATCACAGATGGGTCCCTATCTTCACAGAACTTCCTGTGTTGTGGGTTCATCACCAGTAAGACAACTGAGAAGCCCCCTACTTGGAAGAATGATGGAGATTAGATGACTGAACTCAATGGAGATCATACCAGAGAGAAAACTGGCTGTACAGAGAAAGTGAGATCACATAACATCAACAGGGACTTGACTCAGGCTGGAATGACTGGGGGAAACAGTGAGCTAGAGGTAGTCCAGAAAGGTCTTGAAGAGGAAGTAGCTTCTGGGGACACCTCAGGCTCAGAGGGAGAGACTAAGGAGAGACTTGTTAAGAGATGCTAGCAGAAGCCTTGGGAGGACACAGCCGTGGAGTTGAGTTTGGCTGCCTGCCTAATTAGCAGTCTTACATTGAAACTCAAGGGTACGGCTGAGTCTGGCCTAAGAAGAAAGGATGGAGAGTCCCATAAATTAGGAGTAAGGAACAAGCCACCACTATGGATGGGAGGGGTAGAGCTACATGAGTAAAAGAGACAATCTATGGGCTGAACCTTATCAGCGTGAACTAAGCTAAATTGAGGGAAGACAGAAAACACACTTATAACTTGTTTTACTGGATTTCCTCTGTTATCTCAACTCTCTGGCCCAGGGTAGCAAAGAAGATTGTCCTCCCTGAAGCCTCATAATGCAGACTGAGGCTACTACAGGCATACCTAAAAGATATTATGGGTTCAGTTCCAAACCACTACAATAAAGCTAATACCACAGTAAAGCACATTGAATGAAGTTTTTGGTTTCCCAGTGCATATAAAAGATATATTTACACTACATGTAGTCTACTGAGTGTAAAATAGCATTATGTCTAAAAAATGTACACACCTTAATTTAAAATACTTTATTGCTAAAAAATGCTAGCCATCACCTGAGCTTTCAGCAAGTTGTAATCTTCCCGTTGGTGGAGGGTCTTGCCTTGATGTTGATGGCTACTGACTGATCAGAGTGGTGACTGCAGAAGGCTTGGGTGGCTGTAGCAATTTCTTAAAAGAAGATTACAATGAAGTTTTTGACATAGATTGACTCTTTCTTTTATGAATGAGTTATCTGCAGCATGCAATGCTGTTTGGTATCATTTTCCCACAGTAGAACTTCTTTCAAAGTTGGAGTCAGTTCTCTCAACTCTTGCTGCTACTTTATCAATTCAGTTTTTGTGATATTCCAAATCCTGTTTCCATTTAATCAATCTTTACAGTATCTTCACAAGAGTAGATTCCATCTCAAGAAATGACTTCCTTAGCTCATCCTTAAAAACAAATCATGTTTTTAAGTTTTTTTTTTAAGTTTTATCACAAGATTGTTGATCACAAATTCAGTCACATCTTTAGGCTCTACTTCTAATTCTAGTCCTCTTACTATTTCTACCACATCTACAGTTACTTCCTCCACTGAAGTCTTGAACCCCTGAAAGTCATCCATGAGGGTTGGGATCAACTTCACCAAACTCCCGTTAATGTTGCTATTATGACCTCTTCCCATGAATCATGCGTGTTCTTAATGGCAGCTAGAATGGTGAATCCTTTCTATGTTTTCAGTTTACTTTTCCCAGATCCATTAGAGGAATCACAATCTATGGCAGCTATAGACTTACAAGATGTATTCATTAAATAATAAGACTTAAAAGTTGAAATGACTCCTTGATCCATCGGCTGCAGAATGGATGTTGTGTTAGCAGACATGAAAACAACATTAATCTCATTGTTTATCTTCATCAGAGCTCTTGAGTGTCCAGGTTCATTGTGGATGAGCAGTGACATTTTGAAAGGAATCTTTTTTTCTGAGCAGTAAGTCTCAACAGTGGGTTTAAACTATTAGGTAAACCATGTTATATACAGATGTGCTGTCATCCAAGGCATTGTTTTTCCATTTACAGAGCACATGCAGAGTAGATTCAGTGTAATTCTTAAGGGCCCTAGGATTTTCAGAATGGTCAATGAGCCTGGCTTCAACTTAAAGTCACCAGCTGCATTAGCCCTTAACAAGAAGCTTTGAAGCCCAGCACTGACTTTTCCTCTCTAGCTATGAAAGTCCATCTTTTTCCAACAGAAGCCTGTTTCATCTTCCTTGAAAATCTGTTGTTTAGTATAGCCACCTTCATTAATATCTTAGCTAGATCTGGGTAATTTGTACAGTTTCTCCATCAGCCCTTGCTGCTTTACCATGCACATCTATGTTACGGAGATGGCTTCTTACCTTAAACCCCCTGAACCAGCCTCTGTTAGCTTCAAATTTCTGTTCTGCAGCTTCCTCACCTCTCTCAGCCTTCATAGCATTAGGCTTTGGCTTAAGGGAATGTTGTGGCTGGTTTGATCTTCTATCCAGACCACTAAGACTTTCTCTATATCAGCAATAAGCTTGTTTTGCTTTCCTACCATTCATGTGTTCACTGGAGTAGCACTTCTAATTTCTTTCAAGAACTTTTCCTTTGCATTCACAACTTGGCTAACTGTTTGACACAAGAGGCCTGCTTTTGGCCTAGCCCAGCTTTTGCCATGTTTTCCTCACAAAATTAATCATTTCTAGCTTTTGGTTTAAAATGAGAGAATGTGACTCTTCCATTTGAACACTTAGAAGCCACTGTAGGGTTCATTGGCTTAATTTCAATATCATTGGATCTCAGGAAAGCGGGAGGCCCAAAGGAGAGGGGAAGAGATGGGTGGAGGGTGTGATGGCTAGTTGGTGGAGCAGGCAGAACACACACAACATTTACCAATTAAGTTTGTTATCTTATGTGGGTGCAGTTCATGATGCCCCAAAACAATTACAATAGTAACATCAAAGATGACTGATCACAGATCACCATAACAAATATAATAATAATGAAAAAGTTTGAGATATAATGAGAATTAACAAAATGTGGCACAGAGACATGAAATGAGGAAACGTTCTTGGAAAAACAGTGCTGATGAAGTCGTTCGACTCAGGGTTACCACAAACCTTCCAACTGTAAGAAACATAATACGTGCAAAGTGCAATAAAACAAGATATATCTGTACTGGAGAGAAAAAGATGCCAAAGGCCAAAGCTAAATGGTTTTTTGTGGAGGAACCTTTGTGACCATAGATGGTGGCAGGAGAACTTTAACTACAGGGTGCCCTAGGTACAGGCAATCCAGATACACCTGTACCAGGAAGGCAGGGAGGCAGGGAGGCAGCCCTGTGCTGTCGGGTCATCCCAGTACTTCTGATCTGGGCATTGCATTGCTTTACTTGCCCCAAGACTGACTCTGAACCATAGACTAGCACAACTGTGGGGTTGTTAAAAACCTTCTAGAACAGTGGCTCTTAACCTAACACTTCTTTTTTTTTTTTGAGAGGGCATCTCTCATATTTATTGATCATATGGTTGTTAACAACAATAAAATTCTGTATAGGGGACTCAATGCACAATCATTAATCAACCCCAAGCCTAATTCTCAACAGTCTCCAATCTTCTGAAGCATAATGAACAAGTTTTTACATGGTGAACAAGTTCTTACATAGTGAATAAGTTCTTACATGGTGAACAGTGCAAGGGCAGTCATCACAGAAACTTTCAGTTTTGATCACACATCATGAACTATAAACAATCAGGTCAATTATGATTATTTGTTTGATTTTTATACTTGATTTATATGTGAATCCCATATTTCTCCCTTATTATTATTATTATTATTATTTTTAATAAAATGCTGAAGTGGTAGGTAGATGCAAGATAAAGGTAGAAAACATAGTTTAGTGCTGTAAGAGGGCAAATGTAGATGATCAGGTGTGTGCCTATGGACTAAGTATTAATCCAAGCTAGACAAGGGCAGCAAAACATCCACGGATGCAGAAGATTTCTCTCAAAAAAGGGGGGGTGAGGTTCTGAGCCTCACCTCTGTTGATCCCCAATTTCTCCCCTGATGGCCCCCCTGCGACTGTGCCTGTCTTAGGTTGTTCCTCCCTTTAGGAATCTTACCCGTCTCTGGCTAACCAGTCATCTTCCGGGGCCATACCGGGAAATGCAAAGTTGGCAAGCTAACACTTCTTTTTAATATAAAAATGTAACTCCTCCTACTACCCAAAAACACAGGTGATTCAAACTGCCTCTATATGTAATTAAAAAATAATGTCCCGTGATATGAAAGAGGGATAAAAGGGAAAGTGAGTTATTATAAAACAATATTTATAGGACCACAATACACGATAAGACAAACATGCCCCAACAAACTTCCAAAACCTATCTGGAGGGCAGTACTACCCTATTGAGAACCACTGCTCTGCACTGACCTCAGTTCCCACAGGAAGAAACTGGATGCCAGAGAAATGAAGGATCAAATCATGCTGCCTTTTTTCTTTTTTTTTCCTTTTTGCTGGGTCATTGTAGCCTTTCAGTGGGACGCACTTTGAGTTTCCAATCAGAAATGTTCTAGAACTCCTACTATCAGGAAGCTCGCGCTCTCTTCGGCAGCTCTTGCTACCATACAGGCCGGTGATGAAAAGCATGGGGTTTGGAGCTAAAATCTTTGGATTTTGGCTGCCACTCAGCAATTATGAGACCCTGTGCCAGATTACTTACCCTCTCTGACTCTTTTCTCATCTGTAATTTGGAGGTAAGTTAGTACCTACTCTGTAAGATCAGTATAATGTATGAGAGGGCCCTGATATATAGAAGCCTCAATAAGTGGTAGTTATTACTATTTGTATTTGCGGCACCCCGCTAACTGCTTCCAGCACTCTGTTAATGCAGTTGTCACCACTTCCACTGCTGCTGTTGCTCACACCACAAATGCTGCCATAGGGGGCAGCTCTTCCTTTAAGTAATACTCCCTTGGCCAACCTAATGTGATCTATTCTCATACGCATACTATCCCAAATTAGGAAAGGTTTTCTGACTATTTTGGTTTTGTTCTTGCTTTTCCTATGGAATGAGGTTCAAAGGATCAGGCCAGAGGGTGTCTGAAGGCCATCTTCCAGTGTCCTATTAAGTGCATTTCTCAATACTTCCAAACTGGTGTCATAGGAAGGAGCCCCGGGACCTCACTTTTCTCCTACTTTCAGTTGAGTTTCTGTTAACCCCCAATGTTAGAACAGTCTTTATCTATCCTTCCTTGTTCTTATTTTTAATCCTGCTATATTGAGAGCCTTCATCATTTATCCCAGGAGGCCTATCTGTCCTAAAGCAAATAAGACTCCAGGTGGCTTACCCCTCTTATCACAAAGTGCCCAAAATAGAAAATTGGATTTGGTCACCATTGTGACCCTTGTCCCAGTAATTTGGATAAACCCTATGGCTTCTTTCAACAATAATGAACCTCTAGTTTGGGGCTTAGCCAGTCTTGCAAGCTTGCCAGGCTGACTCTGGCCAGTGTGGAGTCACAACAGCAGGGGAGGGGGAGGCACACTTAGATATATGTATGGTCCTTGGATCTTAGCAAACAACTGATTTCCGCAGGCATGTCCCTCACACAGATGTTGAGGCACCTGAACAACACACTCTCTCCTGCAACCCTTTTTGCCTCTCATGTGAAAGCATACCTCCCCACCAGCTGATGGAAACAAGGGTTCTAGGGAAATATGTGTAAGGAGTGTGTATGGTGAGGGAGGAGGAGTGTCATGTTTTATCCTTTCCAATTTATCCTGAGGTTAGATACCTGTGGGAATTTTCTATCTGTCCACATTATTACATCCCTAAGGCCCAAGGAGATTAAAAATATTTTTTAACATGATTTCTGAGGTTTCTTTCTCAGAACTCTGAGAATATCACAGTGCTAGTAGCCCTCAGGAGGGTATCTGCCAGCTACCTGGTGGGGGCTTCTCTGTGATGTTTCAATCACAGCAAACCATAAGGATGGGTAGAAGCATGTGCACATGTATGCATGTGTGAGTATGCATGTGCATGCACACGTGCACACACACACACGCACACACACACCAACATGAAGCCATAGTTCTCATTCCATACCCCAAAGCAGCTTCTGTAAACCCTTAGAAACTCTCAGACAAAAGAAAAAAAGAAACTTCAAGTCACGTTTTTGTTTGAAGTACACAAATCATTATCAGAACCTGTCAAGCATGCAGTATCACATATCTTTGAACTCAGCATTCTTGAATACAATTTCCCTATCAGGTGAGATAAACACACATGCCTCCAAACCGTTAACTGAATCTCATCCCAGTGGAATTCAGAACTACTTGACAGAGTGTTTAAAAACAGAGATTGACACTTAATGCAAATTGTACTTGACTGACCAGGAGGAGAACAAAACTGGAAGTCAAAACTCCC